AAGAGGGCCATATTTCAATGTATGGCCCAGTAAAAAAGTTTTTTTTTTAAATTGAAATCTTCCCCCTCTATTTGAACCCAGAGATATGATAAATATCTCTCTAACCTCATTGTTCATTGCTTCCACTCACATTTACGGCCCACACACTTTGTGCCTGGGCCAAGGGAGCATGGCAGAATTTATTTTTCCTTGATTTCAGGCTTCTTTCCCATATTTTGAGTGGCCATGTTACTTTTCAGCTTTTATCCTCTGACCGCCATGTTGAGCCACGGAGCGGTGACTTTCCGAGGTTAGTACGAATGAGCCCGTAAGGGGTGAGGTGAGCAGCGAAGCAGTGAGAGTATTGTACTAAACTCGAAAAGTCGCCGCTTTGCGGCTTAACATAGCGGTCAGTGGATAAAGTGGAAAAGCAACATGGTGACTCAAAGATAAGGGAAAGAGGCCAGAAATCAAGGGAAAATAAATTCTGCCGTGCTCCCTTGCTTGGGCCATAATAAATAGTAAGAGATATTTATTCTGTTGTATAAATCTAAGATAAATCTGTAGATTTGACACTGGAAGCTAAGTTACACTGGAGTCATGCTTAAGTCAACTTTCTGGACCCCTATGAAAAATGATCAATACTTATGAAAGTTTGCTTAAATTTAATTGATGGAAGTTGACGAGTCATAGAGAAGTGCATCCTTGTTAGTGTATCCTGAAGTTGAAATTGATCCATAATTGTTAGCAGGTCCTTCTATTAAGGCATTATCTCTGTTTCTTGGCGAGCGATTCAATACACCACCCTAGATAGGAAAGCAGAGCAGGAAAAACTAGTCAGGCAGTAATTTATTAAGTTAAAACATCTTTTGATGCGATGCTATAAGAACATGTAGCCCCTTGATGATGCGAGTCCCTCGGAACAATCATTTTTATACATGAATGATAAAATGATGCAACTCCCATGTGATCAATGCTTTAAGTACCAAGATTCAATTAGTATTACTCCCTTCTGACTGCCATCAGTTATAAATAAGATAGAAGAATTTAGCATTATATCAGGATAATACCCTCAGGCTGATAACTTGTTTGCAAGTTAACATTGGAATAAATAAAGAAAAATTACAAGTAAATTACTTCTGGGGGGGTGAAAGAATTGAATTATCAAATCAAACTGACTGCCTTTTACCTTTCTTCTATCATCAATATTCACCAAAATAGCAAATGTTACACAGGCCAAGGTGTTAGCCAGCAAGAAAATCATGACATACTTCCATTTGTACTTAGACCTGAAGTTAAAAAAAAAACATGCTTCTATTGAGATGGTGGAATTGTAATAATGAATGAAAAAGGAGTCATAGTAAATGAAAAAAAAAAATGGGCTCAGGCCATCAGTTGGAAAAAGATAAATTTTTTTAGTAAAAATGTATGTGAAAAAGAAGTCTTAGAATGTACAGTTTACTTCACAACCTGTTACAATGTTCTCATACACAATATACAACTTTGTATGTAAAACATAGTACTTACCTTATATCATCAAGCATTTTTCCAACAATGATGTTAGCTATTCCCATCCCAATCATCTGAATGGAAGTTGTTAATCCAAGAGCAGTTCCTTTGTGGGGGATAGAACACTTTCAGTAAACATATAGAGAATTACTACAAGGGTAAAAAGAAACAAAGGCTTTGATAATCAAACAAAGTACAAAACTAGAATGCTGCCTTTTTAATCCTTTACACCCTACCATCAGTATGCATATTCTCCATAGTGTTCCCTATGCATTTCCCAAGGTGCTGACAAGGAGAATTTGTTTGACAATCAAGAGCTTGTTTAGTTGGTGATCATTTCCTTTATTCTCCTGGCCCCGGTTGTTCGAAGGGTGGATAATGCTATCCACTGGATAGCGCACACACAACTCACAATTCCTCTATTCGCTCCGATGAAGGGCTAACACTCAAAACGTCAGCTTTTGTAATCGTTACGGTGGCCAATTTACCATTTGTTGATATTTCCATATTATTAATTATCAATTTACTTTTAAGGTGTTTTGTTTGCCTTACCACAAACAAGCCCATTAGAGGTCCAAATAACATGGACACCATATACACGCTGCCAGCAATATATGAAGACTCTTGCTTGGTGAAGCGGAAAGTTTCATTGTAGTTCACATAAATAAATTTACTGCAAAAAAAAAAAAAAATTAAAAATGTAAAAATTGTTTTTAAATGACAAAAATGTTATTTTAGGAAGGGTTCTGACATGGGTGATAAATCAGTTTGTACCAGGTCCTAATAGTGACCTCTGCAATATTATCAATTGAAAGTTATGTCAATTTTGGTGATCATGGCCCCATAAAAAAGAAAAATTACCTGGCATTGGCAATGAAGGGAAACACACCAATGTAGAAAAACATTAGGCAGAATGCCAGAAGCCAGAATGATGACGAAAAGTGCTTGATGTCCATGAGTCTCTAAACACAAGAATCAAAACAAAATGTAAAACTAAGGAAGGGTCTAGAAATGATTGGACCAAAAACAATTGAGGCACCAGACAGTGTACTCTGTACTTCAGTACTTACCATTCTTTTTGACTCAATTTCCATCTCTATTTTCTGTCAGTCAAAGAAATAAAGAAAATCAAATAACTTGTATTTTATCAAATCTCTTAATAAATAAAATAATATGGTTTTCATTAAGAAATATGGTAGCAAGAGAATTATGTAAAATACAATAAGAAAAGAATATTCTTCACATCAGAAAAACAGTTCAAGCTGAGCTGACTTCTGATGCCCATATATAAAGAGGGTAAGTTTCTAAAGAATCTGTGGTGCTACATTGATGAAGGTTATGACAAGATAATTTGGTTTTGTCACTGAGTTGATGTGAATAAGTCACTGAAGAGAGATTCTAATGCCTAATATATACCCCTACTTTAGTTTCTGTGAAGTAAATATCAAAACTTTTTTCCAAGAATTTTCATTTTCAGTGATAAGTAAATAATATAAGCCATACCTTGTTAAGTTGCTTCAGCCCAATAACGTCCATTAGTGATACTACAACAGCACAGACCACACCCACTCCACATAGGATGGCTCCTGCACAAAGAAAGAATATTGAAAATGTTTATTATTTTCTTACATACACACAGTCTTGAGATCAATATAAAAAGCAATCTCAGAAACATTTTAAGAACAAGGAATTTATGGGGGCTCACCAACTATATTCATGGAATTATTTGAAATATCACTAACAACAATGGCCAACATTATTTTGACTCCAAAAAACAGACTGGAATGCAAAAACTGGATTACATAATTATCGTTTAACTTGAGAAGGTCACACTGCTAGAAGAGTGAATTATACAAAGGTGTTTGATCAAATGTGTGACATCACAAAGTTAGACAAAATTGAAACATTGAAACACCACGATACAGTGAACAGAAATTAACCCTTTACAGTAAACCCTAACATCAGTATGCATATTCTCCATATTGCTCTCTATACATTTTCTAAAGTGCTGACAAGGAGAATTTCTATGACAATCAAGTGTTTCTTAAACTGGTGATCATTTCCTTTATTCTCCTGACCTTAATGTGTGATTCAGGGGTGATATTGTAAGGAGAAATTAGATGCTGGTCACTCTTAGAGGTTTAAGTTAGTCTCTCAGAAATATGTTACCTCCCCATAAAGTCCACTGAAGACCATACTTTTCATTAAATCCTTCTGTTAGAAAAAAGTTTAACACACTGCCCTAGAGTGAATTAAAAAACAAAATTATAAACATTAAAATAACATAACAATAACATAAAAATTAAAAACAAAATACAATATCTAATTTTTGCAATAAATACTTTGAAATTTCGATAAAAGTGTTTTTATTTTTATGTAAATTTGATCTTTCATTTATCTAAGGGCACATGTCTGTAATTATGTAAATAATTATCCTCCCAGATAAGCAGCGAAGATATGGGCTTCAAACGTGTGCCTCTAAGATACTAGTTGGGCCTAGAGCTTATCAATTATAGGCATAGCAACAATAAATTAAATAATCAAATTAAATAATTAGAAAAAGCCACATCCACCTACAGGTATCATTTGGTGAAAATATTTCTGACAAACTAGCAAATATGATTTTGGTTAACAAAAAATTGTTATAACCAATCAATACAGTATTTTATTTTTCAATAATCAATTATTCATATTATTATATTAAAAAATACTGGCTGGCTTTATCAAGCCAATGAATCAACAGAGCCAGATCTCTCACAATTGAACAGTCTGACAATAAAGTCCTTGATCCACTAAGAAAGTATGCTATCTTCACGTTGTTGTTAAGTGCAGGCAAATTTGAGTCTCAAGTAAAATTTAGTTGCAATCAACTTACAAGTCTTGAAAATGCCAGAATACATCCAAAAGCAAATGCAAGTTCTTTTCCCTTGAACCACATTGCAGATATTCTGTTTTGCACAACTGTGTGGAAAAAAGGAAGTTTTATGTGCTATACACAAATATTGCACAACTATGTAGACAAAAAGAAGTTATATATGCCATATGAAAATATGTAATATATTATGTAATTATGCTAGCCTTATTTAAATAAGTTTTATATTAAGCCAATTTTAAAAAAGAACTTTCTGTGGTCTCTCTATTGATTGAAAGACAGAAGGAAAGTTTTTAAACCTGCAACATACAGTTAGGCTTTTAATAGTCAGACAAACTATTTCATTCTAATTTCCACAAAATGTGCACCTTACTTGTCAGTGAGCCATTTCCAGATCTGTGGGAAAGAAAACATCAAACATAAGAAAAACACCATGTTTTCCATAAATCAGTATTAGATAACCAGCTCAAAATGACAGCAATACAATATCTAATTTTTGCAATAAATACTTTGAAATTTCGATAATAGTGTTTTTATTTTTATGTAAATTTGATCTTTCATTTATCTAGGGGCACATGTCTGTAATTATGTAAATAATTATCCTCCCAGATAAGCAGCGAAGATCTGGGCTTCAAACGTGTGCCTCTAAGATACTAGTTGGGCCTATAGCTTATCAATTATAGGCATAGCAACAATAAATTAAATAATCATGAAATGAATATATTAAGTTATCAGGCTTTCTATATTAAGCAAGGAAATAATCACATTTGATAAGACCAGAGTAAGCTCTAAATGCCACTGCAGACTCACCCAAACAGTATTCTTCCCAACAGGAAAATGGGAACCATGGCTGACTCTCCGTTGAAGTACAGTCCTATTGCAAACACAGAAGTACCAGCCAGGCACATGGACGAGAACAACAGGGCACCAACTATAAAATGAAAACAATTAATATAAGTGTTGTATTGCAAGTTTTAAAAGTATGTTGCTGTTACAGTTATAGTTTCTGGTTCTTTTGTGTCTTTTGTTTTGTTATGTATTGCATTGTTTTGACTTGTGTCATCATAAAAACTATTAAACAAAGATGAAGCTTCAACCACTTTGGTAAAAATCAGTAATTCCTCACACTTAAAACAGTAGTCACTGTCATTGCTGTACCACATGCTATAGGGATGGAATGACACTAATTTTTAAACTGAAGGTACAGTACAGACTGCAGGAATAGCAGCATTATATATGCGTTTCATGCGTGTAAATCCACCATATTGAGTATAATTTACATGCAAATTACATGTGTGTTACGTGCAATTATTATATGGCTGTGTCTCACAAGGACTGGGAACTACCAAATTCACGAATTTGATTGGCTGAAATCAACACTGAAAGCGGTCTAGATTTTCCGATCTAGACCGGCATCTCGACCGGTCTAGAAAAAAAAGGTACAAAGAATATAAAAAATTGGCATATAAGACACAGCCATATAATAAACATCTTATTAACCGAGCTAGGTCGGTCTGTATGCAAGAATCTTGACCTCGGTCGCTGGTACAGACCTCACTGCGTTTGGTCTGTACTGGCGACCTCGGTCAAGATTCTCTCCTAAAGACCTCTCACTCGGTTAATAAGAACTAAGTATGAAATGCTGATGGCACTGAGGAATAATAGAGAAGATACCAGAAAACTCATTGGAACAGATTCTCTTGTGAAGGAAACCATGACTCAGAAAGGAAGGCAACTTCTTCAACCAGTCTACTGGAGAGCACTAGTTCCTTTTTATACCAAATGCTTTATACAAAAAATCTCAACTAAGTGCTACAGAAAAGAGCTCACAACTTCTAGGTACGATTTTTGTTCCAGTGATTGAGAAACAATTGAAATATTAACTCTGATTTATGAAAGACCTGGTGGTAGACGATCAGGTTTCAGTTTTTTGCCATAGGACAATGTTAGAAGTGTGATTAATGTACGAAAGACTTTTAAGAATTATGTGTATATCTTGCGAATGCTAATTTTAATGAGGATGCGCTTGGACAAATGTACATGTAAGTTGACTATTCCACTATCTTTTTGTTTTATTTCCAATCAAATTTGTGTTTTTAAAAATATCGAATTGTAATTTTCTGTTCTCACAGCTTCAGACTACCATAACACTACCATTAAAACCTGAAAATCCAAGCCTGTTCTTCTTAATCACCTGAAATTCCATTTATTGCTTGTCCAATTTTGCACTTTAAAACATTCTGTACTTTATCTCATTACTTACTTGGATTTCCCAACTTGTCAATTAAAAACCCAGCCAGTACAACAACTATTGCATTCCTGCAAAACAGTCAAATAACAAACACTCTTACTACTTTTAGAAGAATTACTCTGTCCCTGAGGGGTTGTGTCACGATAATTTGGACTACCAAACTTTTTAAAGCTACTGTAAAGGCAAAAATATAAAAGACACTCCCCAACTTGGTAGGCTGTACGAGACAAAACCCTAAAAATTGGCAACCTATGCTCTCACACCTATCAAAAACAAAACCTCGTCTAAACAGTTGACTTTGTATTCACTTGGTTCTGTTTTGAGAAGACATAATGGGTTGATGCCAAAATAGAAGCCAGCGTGAATCATAAATAAGTATCATCAACAGCTTTGCCCTGATTCAAAATCTGGGATACTTAATAACTTAAATTTACCCAAGTTAAGAATACATGGAAAGAATGTGGCTCATGATTACATTTTAAAGGTATACTCTTGTCAACAAACTTCTATAAGCTTTAGATCTCAAAGTTTCCAAATTTACAATAAAATGTGCCTCACAATAGCACAGGGTTGGACACCTGGCCACCTGCATTGCTAGCCACCTGGCTAGTGATTTCTAAAATTTACCAGCCCGAACCACAACTTGGTAGCCCGGATCAATTTTCCTCTAGGTCTACTTCAAACACACAAACCTTCCTCTAAACTTATTGGCAAGGTCTTTTAAAATAATAAAGAATAGTACAAACACTTCAAGTGCAAGACCATCGTGCCAGGACATGTGCAAGGCATCGCAACATTGGTAAGCGCAGAGCCTGGGATCTAGTGATATTTAAGATCGACACGGAAGACAAAAAAAGATGCCAGTAGATGAAAGGCTTATGCCTTCTTTATTGGTATTATCATTCAAATTTGAATTTTTTATTTATTTATTTAACTGTGAACTTCAAGTAAACTAATTATTATTTCTTTCAATTTTTCTACTAGCCAGCAGGATATTAAACATGTTTTTTTTATTAGCCCAACCAAATTTTTACTAGCCTTGGGCTACCGGGCTAGTAGAGATGTCGAACCCTGATAGCATGAGTTTGAAATCAGTATGGGGAGGCTTTGCAGATCAAGTAATTTCCCAGGAAAGGAAGGGGAAAGAGAATACTTTTTTCAAGTAAATTACTGGGTATCAAAGCTACATTTTTACTTACGTCCAGGCATATATAGCATAGAGCAAATTAAATTGTGTTTCGGTCAACTCCAAGCCACTAGAACAATGGGTTCCATTACTATGGATCTTGTCAATTGGCTTCCCATCCACTGTTGAGCAGTTACCTGTGCTGTTAGGATGTAATGGCTACAAAAGGGAGAAGACAAAGTCACAAAAAGACCAAATAATAGGTTACTAGAGCAACACTACTTCCTCTTGCAAACACCCTTAATCTTAACCATAGTTGGGTCCCCTCTACTAACTATGTCTTAACCCTTTGTGTCTGTAAGTTTAGGACAAAAATTGGTGACCCCTATTTTTTGTTCGTTTTAATTTGCCGTCACAATATTGCAAAGTTGTTCTACATCTACATTTATTAGTCTTGCAAAGGGGGGCCATCATGCAAGACATAAAATAACAATAATAATTAACAAAATGAGATAAAAAAATGTTAAGATAAATGATACATATACATATTTTAAAGATTAAATTCCTTTAATTGCATCTTTAAAATTAATTAATTTATCAATTCCTAAAACACTATTTGGTAAGGAGTTCCAGTCTTTGTTAAATAAAAATGTTGTGAAGTAGCTTCATATGTTAAATAAAAATGTTGTGAAGTAGCTTCATATGTTAAATAAAAATGCTGTGAAGTAGCTTCATATGTGAGCCTATCAAGTCTTTCTTTTTTTTAAATTTCCACAAAGAAATTAACTTTAACATAATTTTGAAAAAAGCAAGCCCTAACTTGTTCACTAGTCATTCTAAGCAGCAAACAGGAGACTCACCGCTGTGAAGGTATTTTGCAAAACACTGCAACAGAACAGAGTTTAACACTGAAAATTCTACAAAACTACAATTGAACCAAACAGAAACAATCAATGCTGGGACGAAATGTTATGGAGAAACTTACCTCGGCATGTCAAAGCAAAAATACGATCCGAACGTCAGCATACACGTGAAAATTAGTAGTACAAAACGAAATGGACCTAACAGGATAAAGAAATAAGAGACATCAAGGATAAATTTGCCAGTTTTTTAAACTGAAAAATGTAGATGAATATCATTTGATTCTTCCGTAATAATATTGCCATTAATCCACCTTTGCTTGCGTGGAAACATCCCTCATTTCGTCCGGGAAAGACAGGGTCAATATCTCTATAGTCCGCCATGTTTTTCTGTGATCAGACTGAACATGTGACCACTACTGGGGGTGTCGTCCAACAACAAACCAATCAGGGAACAGATTTAGAGCAAGTTTGGCGGAAGTTTTGAAAAAAAGTTTACAAAGACTAACAAACAGAAGATACATAAACACATTTTATACAGGAGGTTGTTTATTTGTTTGTTTATCATTTTTATGAGCATCCATTAATGCCACGAGTTACAATGTTTACGACTTTCCTCTTGAAAGAAAGCCAAGATTGCAAGTTGAAATACAGTAAGGGTGAAATCCAAAAGTGAAAATATAGTAAAATAATACTGAAGCTAAATCCTGTATGCATAAAAGAAAAAATGTATCAATAAAGGGATGAAGTGAAGGGGTGTTTCGTTTGGTTTCGTTGAGGTTCGCGGGCGCAGCTGACGTAGCTAAAGTTTTCAGTGACGTAAGTGACGGATCATGAAACGTCTCTATAGCAACTGGAAGTGTTTTTGCTCAGAAAAAATAGCGTGAATATTTGCTACGCACTGAGGAGAGTTACACGTGTGTTCCTCACGAAAAATTTACGACACAGCGAGTGAGCTGATTTGTATGTTGAAGCATTGTAAAGCTTTCTGAAAAGATATTAAGAGATTTTTGAGGAAAACCTGAACGGATTAAAAGCGAGGTAAGAGAATTTTTGCAGTGCGTTGTAAATTTTGTTCGCGCTCCATTGCGACGAAACTCTAGTCTCTGAAAGCAGAACTGTGATTATTTCCTCACTCCTGGCTAGAACCCCCTTTTTAAAAAAACAAGCTTGATCGTCACCTTTTTGATATTTGCGCTCACTGAAGCTTTAGTTATTTTTTTCTTTTTTTTCGCTTCAGAAGTAGAATGTGGAATCCTTTCACGCAAAATTTCAACACTTACCCCCATCAACAAGTTGGGCAATCTGGTAAGTGATAAAAATTAGTGTTTTGTTTTTCGCTTGTTCAGAACACTATCTCTTTTTGGAAGCAGACAAGCTAAGTGGAATTCAAAACTCTTTACAATCGCTCTGTTTGTTCGAAAAGAAAGGGAATCGAGGTTTCCGCGCACTTAGTTACTAAACCACAACTTGCATTACGCTGGGGATAGAAGGAAGACAACGAACACAAATTCTAACTCTTTACCGGTTGGGCTACTCTGGACTATAATCACGTGATGGCGCTTGAAAATTAGAACGGAATTGATTGTTCTGTCTGTATGTTTCGTATTTAGATCTTTAAAAAATAACGGGACTGGCGATACAAGGCTCGATTTCCGCCTTTTTCTCGTGTCCGATTTTCGATCCTCCCGAAGTGAGTGAGGCGAGCTCATTCCCGAATAGCGGTTGGTAAGATTAGGCGATATAAGAGAAATTTACTTTATCTTCAACAGGTTCCAAAGGTACTCAGTCCCCCGATGAGGGCAAGATTGAGTTACCGGGAGGAGGATTCATTCAGAAACCTGCGTCAGAGCTGCAAAGAGCATCTGGAGTTCATGCAATTAAGATTGAGCAACCAGAAGGAGGTTTCATTCAGAAACCTGGGTTAGAGCTGAAACAAGCACCTGCAGGGATTGAGTTACCGGGAGGGGGGTTCATCCAGAAACCTGGGTCAGAGCCACAACAAGCTGGGATTGAGTTACCAGGAGGAGGGTTCATTCAGAAACCTGGGTCAGAGCCAAAACAACCACCTGTAGTTCATGCAGTTCCTCCCATGTATTTTCAATATAACCCTGTTCCTATTCCACCATATGTTCAGGCGGATGAGTTTGAAACTCCTGAGGTAAGCATATCGCAAATAAATTTAGGTACAAATGCCCTCTGAGTTTATTAATACAATGGACCCATTCGATCTAAGCTCTGACTTAACTGTCAAAAACCATGAAATTAGATGGGGGAAATCACGCCTAAGCATAATTCTTAGGCTCCAACCATATTGTGGAGGGGATCACATGATTTTCAGGGGGGGACGGGGGGAAGATCGCCGCTAACAGGCTATAAAGAGGGGATTAGAGAAAATCGACTACCAATGAGGGAAGAGGGGGTTTAAAGAAAACTAGGGGGCCTTGAGGGCGGAGGATCAGTAAATTTTAATGTGACGCGACCGAAGTCCTTTGAAATTCCCATCCCCACCTGGGAGACAAAAAATGACCGGTCTCTAAATGCATGCAATTGTTTTATTTGTTTGTTTGTTTGTTGTTTTTTTTTACAGGAGAGGTTATCGCTCATGAATAAACTTGAAATGATGTTGGAGGAGAGAGAAGAACGAAAAAAGGAGTTAGACGAATTGTGTGCTCAAGGCAAGAATCTTGAACAAACTCTGTACAAATTGAATGTCGCTTTGGACTTTCACACCAGTGAGATGACAGAACTTAAAAACACTCTTCGAAAAAAGAAAGAACAAATGAAATTTACAATTCAGTCTAAAAGAACTGATAATACAAGATTGCGGGGAATTATTCAGCAATTACAGCTAGAGGAGACCAAGACTGCAAGCTATAAAGTAATAGCGACCGAAAGCAAATTTTTGAAAGAGCAAGTCTCAAAGGCTACTGAAGAAAGAAAATTCTTGAAGAAGAAAATAGATGAGTTAGACCATAAGGCTGACGAAATGGAGTTGAGAAGTAAGATCATCGAACAAGAAGAAATAACTCTTGAGAAAAATCTGATCGCGTATGTCCAGCAACTGGCCGGGAATGGTGAACTGAAACAGCAACACGATAGTTCTCGTTACGAGGTTAGTGATTACTTTTTAATAGAAGTAAAAGATAACTCCACCTAGATTATGAAAAGCCTCTTGGACTTAAGAAAACCTAAACCGCTAAAAAGCGAAAAAACGATTTATAAGTAATACGCAAAATAGAAAGAAAATACCTCACTCGGAATGTCTCCTCGCCCCCCCCCC